CTTCCGCCTCAGCCTTCCGAGTAGCTGGAACCACAGGTGCGCGCTACCACACCCGGCTAATTTTTTTGATTTATTGTAGAGATGAGGTCTCACCAAATTGCCCAGGTGGGCCTCGAACCTGCGGGCTCAGGTAATTCACTCACTTCAGCCTCCCAAGGCACGGGATTACAGGCTCAGCCACCGAGCCTGACTGACCATAATGCAATTCTAACCCTTTGTGACAGAAATAGCAAGTTGAGCCTCAGGTCTCACATCTTTAGGTGTTTTTCATGAATGTCCCATCCTCAAAAATCACATCTTGAGGGTTTGTTTCACTTGTGAAGTCACCATAGACCAAACATAAAATAACTATTTATATCTAGAAATGAAGTATTCTCTGATTTCTACTAACTAATCTGCTATCTACACAAATCCATCAGTTAATTGTTCAGCTTTTTCCACTGGACCTACTCTAAAATGCTATTCTACCATGACTTTAAGCCACAATATTACTCTGAATAACTTGTAAGCATGATTATAAATAGGTTTTTTGCTTTATAAAAAGATATTTATTTTATTCTTGATACTTTTTTCTTTTTTAGAGTCAGAGTCTCACTCTGTTGCCCAGGCTAGAGTGCAGTGCACACTCATGGCCACCACAGCCTCAACCTGCTTGGCTCAGGTGCCTTCCAAGTAGCTGAAACTACCGACGTGTGCCACCACGCCCAGCTAATTTTTTAAATTTACTTATTGTAGAGACGAGGTCTTGCCATGTTGCCCAGGCTGATCTCGAACCCCTGAACTCAGGCAATCCTCTTGCCTCTGCCTCCCAAAGTGCTGGGATGACAGACATGAGCCACTGTGCCCGGCCTTATTCTGGATACTTTTATCAGCTTCATAAGGCCAATGCTCAGATGCTTTTCTCTAAAAAATATCATCACTGCTTCAGAAAAAGTTGCTCATTCCAATGGACCATTCTCACTGTTGAGACTACAAACACAGGCAGTATGAAATCATCCTCACGATTGTTTCTTGAGCTGTTTCTCCTTATCAGGAAGTGTGCACATGTCTGCATGGAAGGTGAATGTTTCCGCATTAAACTCCTTGGGGACATATGTTTCATCGACTTGCAGAGCAGAAAAGCATGGTCTCCTGTTCACCAAGGATTCTGTGCAGCATTTGGTGACTCTGTCACTCACTGGTGTCTTCTCATGCATCACACACAACCGGTTCAGGACCACGGCCAGCTAAAGAACAGGGAAGAGAGCAGAAATTCAAAAGAAGCAAGTTGAGAGAAGGAAATTTCCACAAAGGTGTACTTTCCAATGCACAAAAAGAAGTGTTCTATTTCAACGGGCAACACTGAATCCAAAGTTGACTTAAGACAGTGATTTGTTTGTCTTTAAAACTACAGATTAATACTTTTAAAAAGTCCTCTCTCTTTTAATTAAATATATCTACATTTTAGGAATAATGCACTTGAGAAAATAATTGATGAAAATAATTTGAGATGACTTATCCTGAGATATGTGTTGAAATGGGGAAAAAATAGCCTTCTACTGATATATTAAAGAAGAACCCCTCCCCCAAAGAAAGTTAAAATTTAGAAAACACCAGATGGAACTCTGAAAATGCATAGATTTTTAAAAATTGATCACCTTTGGGATCTTTGTCTAAACTCTCATTTTGGTAGTCAGGATAATATAGGTGAACAAGTGCTGACTTCCACTAACACTCAAACATACTCACACACATAATAATCCACTCCTGCTTCTGAAAGTTAACATTATCAGTATCTAAAGGCAAAAAAATTATCATTGTTAACTTTCTTATATTTTATCAAGACTCACATAGTCTTCAGCACAGGACATTCTTTGTGTTTCAGAAAGCTTGCAACATTTGGTGCCCACTCTTCCTAGGTTTCTTGAGACCTCCACAAGAGTTGGAGTTGACACTTGGGGTACTTTCTTAGTGTAACGAACCAATAGCCTGTAACAAGATGGTCCATGTGTTTTCAGTTAGGCAAGAAACTGTCTTTTTCTAACATAGCTCAAACAAAGAACACTCAGCCAGAATCACCTAAGATGTTCTTATTTTCTATTCATCAAATTATCTCCATCTGCTGAGTGGTGGGGTAGTATAGAAGAGACAACCTTATCCTGAGCAACTTGTTATATTTTGCTTTAAATTCCACCTGTACCATATATCTTGGGAAAGTAAGTTATTTATTAAAATTCAGTGGCATTAATATATTTACTGATTGCTTCTTTCTTTCAATAAAACCTATAAGAGCTTATTACATATCAGCAATGTGTTAAACTTGAAAGATATAGGTGAAAAAATGGAAGGAAATATACCTGACTCAGTAGGGATGGTGCAAGGATTAAATTAAAAGGAAATAAAGTATGCAGTTAATATGGCACATTATCTAACATGTAACAGCCATTTATTAAAAATGCCAATCACCATTAAAAGTCAACGTATGACTATAAACTAGTCAAGGTAAGAAACTATGTCTTGTTCATCGGTGTTATCCCTCACACTCATAGTTAGAAGAGTACTGTAGATATGAGCTGCACAAAAATAACTACTGAATGATATGTTTCTTCTTGTCTTTACCTCCATAGTTATGGCTCTATTGAATTGGAACATTAGTCCAGCAAGCCATCTATCTCTGTCTCTTCTAGGGAGGGAAATTTCATAGGAAAATAAGGTTTAACTATGAAAGACTAGGTGCATCTCCCAAACATCCAGTCTTTTCCCAAACAGTATATCCTGAATCTGATGTTTATATATGTTTCTAAATCCATTTTATCATATTTTTGTGTTCAGCTTACATATTATTAATACTTCTTAAGCCACCGCTATACAAGGCCTGCTACTTCTTGTTCTGTAAAATATTACTGTGTTCTATTTGCCCATAAACTATTCCTTAACCTTCAAAGGACAGCCCCAATTCCAATATACCAAGAGTTGGTATTTACTCTCCCACCCTACAAACTTCCAGGGCCAAAATACCAATTGTTTAGACAACATTCAATTATAGATCTCTCCATCTCATCAACAATTTTACCTCTCTTTTCCTTTCTTGACAAAGAGTGACTCAAAATATGTACTGTGATTTCATTATTAAAAGTTCAAGGCTAGATGGTCTAGATATGAAGTCTTCAAAAATTACAAGTTGATCATGAAAAGGATCAATCCATAAACAAAAATACTTACGCATTCTGGAAGTTGTATTCTCCAAGCTGTTCAAAAAGCTCACAGTTTTGTTTGACTAAATTCTTAGGCTCATTCACAAGAGGCTGCATTTCATCAAACTGAAACATAAAAGAATTGTGTTAATAGTGTTACTCCTGAAGATCACATGCAGGTTGCTTTCCACCCCTCTAGTCAGAATGAGATACTTTTTCCTTTCTACCCAAAGCCACATGAATAAGTCATCAGTGCTACCCCTGTTACATTACATTTGCCTGTTTTCTTGTATTCAGTCAAGCTGCACAGGGTAAGCGGCTAAGAATATGCAGGCCCTGAAGTTCAAAGACTAGCATTTGAGCCAGGCCATCTTACTCATTGATCATGTTGCAATTTTACCATCTCCAAACTTCGGAATCCTCCTCTCCAAAGTGGAGGCAAAGATAGCACTCACCTCACAGAACTGCTCTGTAAGGCAGTTAAGCTAATGAAGTCAAAAAGTGCCCAACATAGAGTAAACGTTTAATAAATAATGGCTATGATAATAAGTATGATTATGATTAAACCATCTTTCCAGTTGGATCCAGAGCTCTCCAAAATGAGAGATTTTGTCAGTCATGGGATGTAGGGTGGTGCCTGCTATACAGTAGCTTCTCCAGAAAGATTTGTTTTCCTGACTTAACTTCTTGTAAAACTATTCCTAAACCCTCTCAAAAGGATTTTAAAATATTCTAAAGAAATAGATTCCACAACCTCTCTGAAGATATTAGTTCCAGTGCTTGATGAGTCTTGAAATTAGGTTAACTTTCTTTATATCTAAGTTAATTTTTTTAATTAACATTTAAATTTACTTTAAAGTATTTTGATCTCAGGAGTGTGAATAAAGAAAAGTCGTGGCCAAGATTTGTGAAATTAGAGATTGCTCTATTCAGATCTTTCTTTTCTAGACTAACTGTTCTAGGTCTTATTAATCATTGTATTTAAGGCTATTTTTTCTATCATGGGTAAAAGCACAGAATTGAAATCATCCCGAGAAAGATCAAATTGCACTATTTATCATTTAACATTTTTGCATAATTTTTCTTTCTTATTGTTGGAATCATCAAAGAGTTCCTTTATTATTTTCTCTTTTCCCCCACAAGAAACCTACCACTTTGGCATAGCATGTAGGAGGATCAGCGGTGGCACAGCATTTCTCCAGGGTGGCTTCATATGTCTTGGCAAGTCTCAGCAGCAATGAAACAGAGTAATCAGGCTGCCTTCTTGCATATTCATACAAAAACCTAATTAAGATGTAAGTTTTTATTTAGATTTTGTTCGACAAATGAGCAAGAAAAAAATCATATCACTAATCTCAAGAGTAACTCATATTCCAAAGGTCTGAATTGGACTAAACCCCATGCAGGAAGACTTGGTGGCTAAGGACTTAAGGTCCAGAGTTAAAGCTACCTGGACTCTGCCACTTATTTTACTATATCACCTTAGGCAACTTATTTAAACTATCAGAGGCTTAGTTTCCTTCTCTGTAGAATGGAGATAATAACACATCTCTCTCATAAGGTGGATTATGAGAAATACATGACATAATCTACATAAAACACACACTGCCTGGTGCATATTAAATGGTTAGTGAATGTTATCTGTTATTTTATGTATATTTATATTACATTTTGATTTAAATTGCATCCCAAAAGGATTCTGATAGACGGAGATCTATTCCTAAATTTTTCTGTCTCCTCTCTGTATAAGTGAAATCTTGTAGGGAATATAATTTTATGAGATATAGTTTAACGCATAGGACACTACCATAATTCAACAATAAAAATGCAAAATTACCACCACACTTACTGACAATATATAATCATTTATTTTGTAATTTAGTTGCATACTGTCTTGCTATACTACTGAATTTCTAGTATTCTCAACCAAATTTAAAACACCTGGTGTCAGACTCAACAATTCTTTTTATACTTTTTTACCACCCTTGGATAGAATAGATAGATAGATAGATAAACAAAAAGATATGCAATACATAGCCACACAGACATATTATAGGTGTTCAAGAAATACCTTTGGAATGGATAAATGGATTAAAAACATAATTTATATATATACAACCATTTCTAGAGGTATTTTCAGAAATATCTCTAACGACTAAGGAACATTGAGCTTTTGCCATGAGCATATATTATTTTATGTAATTTTTTAAATTCATCAACTATTTCAAAAAAGTTCTTGAAAGCAGGGAAGGAAAATATGACGAAGCTTTCTGGGCAATACGAAAATTGTAGCAACTCCAAAGAAAAGCCTAGTGTGTTTTCTGAAGTTGTTCAGCCATGTAAAACTTATGAAAAAATCATTGCTTATCTACTTACGTGCCCAGGAAGACATCTTTTGCCTCAGCGTAGTTTTTGCAAACTTCCTTATCCTCAACAAAATCAGTAGTTAATGCAGGCAAATTAGCAGGCATGTCATCATTTTCCACCTCAGAGAGGCAGTGGGACTTTTCCAACAGAGGCTTATCACAGCATTCCTTCAGTTTAGAGGACACTGAATCTTGATTTTCACACATATACTTGGCAAGGTCTGCCTATAAGCAAGTGGATGGAAATTGTTTAACATTCATTGACATTGCTACGCTTTCTCCTCAGACCTTTATTATTTTGGAAGAACATATTCATTATATTTTAAGATGGTACACATCCCAGTGCGCCTTCTATAATGACACTTTCAGTCTGTTCCTAAACCTGGAGTCACAGATAGGACTCCTAAAACATGCTGAAGAGAGACTAGTTAGTAACAGGTGCTTGCATCCATTATTTATTAATTATACATATCTACTGTTGAGGCATTACTTTTTTTTTCCATGAAAACCCAGTGCCATTTTTGCAAAGAGTTCTCCCAAATTAACTGCAGGCATTTGAAACCAAATAACTAAAGTATAAGAGATTTTTTTTTAAAGTGAATCAAGATCATAGTCACAGGCCTTGCTTACATATACAAAATATTTGCCTTAAATTTTCCAGAAAGTGTCATAAGAAATTAGGATTCTAGTATTTGGTCACAGTTTTAATCTTTGAAGAAAGGGAGAAAATATTACAGGTTTGGGGGAAGATATCAAGTTATATTTAACATAGAGAGTTAGTTAAGGGACAGAATAGAGGTGAAAAAAATATATCATTTTCAAAAATCTTTTCAGGTAGTAGCTCTTGTCCAACTCTACCTATCTCTCAAAAAATATTCTTAGAAATCTACCTTGCAGTTGTTCTACTTTGTTTAAACCTTGTTCACAGAGTATGACTGAAAGGGGTTACAAATCAGCCAATGGGTTTATCTGGTCGTTTAGCAATTTGGATAGTCAAGTTAAAAAATAAAAAAGTCTCAGGTTAAAAAAAAAAAAGGCTAGGAAATGTAGGAAATGGAGCAGATGTGAGCAGTGAAGACAATTTAAACCCCTGACAGCTGTTACCAATGATACCAAGTGAATCCATCCTACCAACTTAAGCAAGCAAACTACCAAAGTATAAAGAGCGTTCTGATGACTCTTTACCCTGTCATCTGCACATTCAAGCAGGTCACCATGGCAGCATTCTTTGTGAACTTTGGTAAAATCTGTCACTAGCTTGGTAACTTCAGCGAAATCGGCTTTCGGAAATTTCTGGCTCATGCGAGCTACTGCCCTAAAAAGAAAATTCCAAATCAAAATATTATCATGCAACAGTTTATGTGAAAAATCTAGGAAAATACTACACTAACAGGAAAATTCAGGACTAACATATAGAAATAATTTTTAAGTGCATTAGTTCTTAATTTAATGCTAATTCCCAACCAAGTAGTTATGTTTTTTCCTTAGGGTAAAATTATCCATTTAAGAGCATGTGTGGCAAATAGAAATCCTGCAGTTCAAAAAAAGCAGAAACTCAAAAGGAATTCTAAAAGAGGCAACAGGATGAGAGGCAGCAGTTTTGGAGCCCAGACCTGACTTCCAGATCTCTGCTATTAAACTTATCAACAGTAAAACTCTGGGCAAGTTACTTAGCCTCTGAGCTTCAGCCTCTACAGTATCACAACAGCATGTCAAATCAAAGGACTGTTTTGAATAGATAATACATATGAAAGCATTTTATAATGTGGTAAATACCACACACAAACTCTCTTCTTTCTCCATTAAGGTATTCTTTTTTCTCAATTAAATCACATTGTTGCTGGGCTCTGGTGGCTCAGCCTATAATCCCGTGCTTTGGGAGGCTGAGGTGAGTGGATTGCCTGAGCCCGCGGGTTCGAGACCCACCTGGACAACTTGGCGAGGCCTCATCTCTACAATAAATCAAAAAATTAGCCGGGCGTAGTAGCACGCGCCTGTAGTTCCAGCTACTTGGAAGGCTGAGGCGGAAGGATCGCCGGAGCCCAGCAGGTCGAGGTTTCAGTGGCCGGGAGCGGCCACTGCACTCCAGTCTGGGCAACAGAGTGAGACTCCAACTCAAAAATAAAAAATAAATAAATAAATAAATCACATTCTTTCTGACTTCTACGGGTCTCTAAGAAAAGAAATTTCATAACTTCTACAGAATTAGGGAGATTTTATTGATTATACTTTTACCAAGAAAGATCCAGCAGAGTCTCTAAACTCTATGATAAGATGTAACAGTCTAATTCCCTTCGTCTTTCCCCAATGCTTTTAGAGTTGCCTCAATCTGATGAAAGAGACTTATTTTCCAGAAACAATCATAGCCTATTTAGTTGTATATAATTTTATGTTGGAGTTGTTTTGTTTGCCAATTTGATTGGATTTGGTAGTGGAGATGGTAGGAATAATGAACAAATAAGTTCAATTGACCATTTCTAAAGAGCATGCATAATATTTCTTTTCTTTATTTCATCACCTGTTGTGTTGGTTTGTCATTGACCAGCAGGTGAGGGACGGGAGGGAGGGGGACAGGTAGTATTTTTCCTGGTTCAGATATTAAAGTACAATCCCAGAACCAGCTAAGTAATATAAAAACAGAGATCCAGGCAAAAACATGAGATTAAGGGCAGAGTTGGAGCTCTGAGAAAATGAGAAGTAACTTAAACTTGAAGATTGAATCGGATTATCAGAATATTAAAAGGATACTCAATACATTCAGGTAATTGGAAAGAAAAAATAAAATTAATGAAAATGAAATTAAATAACAAAACCCTGACTACAGTTCTTTTATAATAATGAAACATTTGAATAAGATTCCCTGTCTTAATAAATAAATAGGACTTAAATAGCTGTCCGTCTCTTTTTGGACATAAAAGATACTATTCTCTAAATTCTTTGACTGCATAGAAAAAAATAAGATTAAAGATAATATGAAATTGTCATTGATGCTCTGATTTTCACCTCTACTAGATTTCTACCTTTTAGACAACCAAATAAATGATGTCTTAGAAAGTACTTTGTAAAATGGTATAAAATTGTACAGTTTTGTCAACTGAACCATCATCATTTACCTCATTATGAAGATGCAAACTATGTTTTAAAATATTTACCATGCTTTAAAAGCTCTCTCTCCGAATTTTTGGAGACTGGCGCACTTGAATCTCTGGTTGGCAGAAGAAGCCATTCCTTTCTCCTTCAAAGCATCGAGCTACAAAAAGGAAGAATTTTGGAAAAATAAGAAAAAAAATTTACATGAAATCCCCCTCCATAAGCTCAGATGAGACTGTACCAAATTAAATTTTAAAGAGATAATGTATGACTAAATTCCCAAGTACTCCCTTCGGTGAATAGGTATTTTACTCTGTAACAAAAGGAAAAGCCGGGCTCGGTGGCTCAGCCTGTAATCCCGCACTTTGTAAGCCCGCACTTTGAGGTGAGTGGATTGCCTGAGCCTGCAGGTTCGAGACCCGCCTGGGCAACTTGGCGAGACCCCATCTCTACAATAAATTTAAAAAATCAGCCGGGC